TTAACCCAACTTTGGGTCAAATATGGACTAACCCAACTTTTGGGTTAAAAATTTAATGTAAAAATTTAACCCAACTGTTGGGTTAGTCCATATTTGACCCAAAGTTGGGTTGAAATAACCCAGCATTTTTTAGAGTGTAAAATTAGGATGGAAAGTTTTTTAGTGCCCTACGCAAACTGCGTACTCTACATAGCACGGCTGTACTGGTCGCAAATTCAACAAAATTATATATATATAGCCTATACACACACGACATATATTATATATATATATTTATATATATATTTTTAGAACTTAATTTATTTTAAATAATTTTAAGGCATTCTGAGGAGTATTGCTTTATGCACAGTATTCCATACCAAAAATGTACAGATCCTGGATGCTGATTGGTCGACACAATATAGTAACAATTATGACTATATCTATCTAGAGGGACTATATTTGCTGGAGGAATATTAATATTTTAGTTGAATAACTTTTTAATAAATATTGTGTATTTAATGTTTATTATTTCACTATATGTTAAATGTCCTCCTTACACCTTACTGTTTAATAATATAAACAATACAGAAAATAAGTTAAAAAAAAGGAGTATGCAAAATATTAAATACATTTGCAGTATACATTTTTGTCATCTCAGAAACAACATTATTTTTAAACTAATTTTGTGAATAAAACATAGTAAGTGTTGGGCAGCAAATAATCGATCAAGAAAGATGTTACAAGTCTGGTTTTCTGGTACATTCGTCACCCTGGAAATGAAAGATCAGGCTGAGTGCACTGTGTTGGGGGACTGCATGTATACTACACATACTGGAAAATTGTTTTTCAGACTATGAAGCGATCAGGAAGAGAAAGTGTGCTTTTCAGACAAGAGCTCTGATTGGACAGACAGAAAAATAAACTTAATATGACATTTGCAATAATGGCAGGACATAAGATCTAAAATGTTCTGACATGTTCGGTTCATTTATTGCACAAACAGCTTTGACAAAATTTACTCTCATATTAAACGCATGACCAGAAAATCTGTGGAAAAACAAGGGAGCTTTCATCATATTCAGATTGAAATCTTTTAATACGGCTGTTGTTGTTTTTTAAGTGAAACGTGAGAAGTTTGATGATGAAACCATTCAGGAATCACTCCGAGGGGCAACGAAACCTCGTCTGATCCTTCATTTCGGCGTTTCAGCAACACACAAAAAAAAGTTCAGAAACAGATGGATTCCAAACACACACAAAAAAGCTCCTCTGACACTTAATAAATGGTAGTGTCATTTGGGAAAGCGGTGAAAAAGCTCTGCTGAACATCACAGCCCCGTTTGACAGTCTCGAGGAGAGGCAGTGGGCAGGACGTCTGAAAATAAAGACCCTGCAAGGCTATTGGATTATTTGTTTAGGCTTAAATGTTTTACAAAAGTGCCACTGTAGTAAAGTGAGAAGTCTAAGCCCTGTTGAACAGGATACACACTGTTAAAGGGACAGTTCACCTTCAGTTGCTCGTCCCTATTGATTTGCATAGTGTTTTTTTTCCATACTATGGAAGTCAATGGGGACCAGCAACGGAAGGTGAACTATCCCTTTAAAGACACTAAATTAATCCGTTTTTTAAACGGCTGTGTCTATTTCTTCAAACAGCAGCAGAGTTTAAGGTCTGCATGACTAGTAGCCTACAGGAACAGTTCACTTGAAAATAAAAACTGTCATCATTAGGTCCAAACTCAATGCCATGTTGTTCCAAAATCAAACACAAAAATTGCACTGAATGTTCATGCTGCTTTTTTTTTTTCAGCGTATTGAAAGTGAATTAAAAAAAAGCACCATGGAAGTGTCAGCAGTAACTCTCAATTTGCACATGTTCAAATAATGTGTTAATGTGCACCAGGTTTGCTATCATCGGCAGTGGTCATGTGTCTCATAACATGTTGATTTTAATAAATAATGATTGCAACTGGAGCATATAAAGCTGTCATATGACTTCAGAAGACTTGGAATATAATGCTTTAACTGTTTGGACTACTTTTGATCTCTTTCCATAATGTTTCCGATGTCTGGAAATGAGCAGCATGAACATTCTTCCGAACATCTCATTTTGTGTTCTACAGAAGAAAGTCATTCAATTTGAAGCAACACGAGGGCGAGTACATAATGAGAACATTTCCTGTTTTAAGTGAACTATTTCTTTGAAAGCAAGCATGCCCTACATCAGGGGTGTCCAAACTCGGTCCTGGAGGGCCGGTGTCCTGAAGAGTTTAGCTCCAACCCCAATTAAACACACCTGAACCAGCTAATCAAGCTCTTACTAGGCATACTAGAAACTTAAAGGCAGGTGTGTTGAGGCAAGTTGGAGCTAAACTCTGCAGGACACCGGCCCTCCAGGACCGAGTTTGGGCACCCCTGCCCTACATACACAAGTCAAACCACTTGTGCAAACTGACAACAGATAAGTAAGCCACACTTATTTTTCCTCAATGTTGAATGCATACAAATCGAATGATGTAACAGTCACATATAATGTTTTAGATCCCAGTTTAGATCATCTCTGGCTTTTTGCATATGTTGTGTTAAAAAAATACAATTTATCATGATGGATCTTCGGTGAACATGCTCTTCAAACCATGTTTATATACAGGACGAACAGATGTGTGTGGCTGAAGAGATGCTGACAGTCTTTGGTAGAAACACAAGGAGACATTTGATGCAGATCATTCAGATGATCAAGCCAAACCAAATCCACTCCGTCCAAAACCTCTGTCAGCCAGACCACAAGCTTGAAGACAACATCTCTTTTAAACCCCACAGTTACAGGGGGAGCTTTCAGCAGATCTGGCTCAATACACAAACTGCACCTCTTAAAAGGATAAATCTCACAAAAATGTCCAGATCATATTCCATCTCCATAAGAGAGAGAGAAAAAAGTAACACTTTACAATAAGTTGGGTCACATAGATTCGTTAATGCATGGTACCATAAAGGGGGGGTACGTTTTACAGCATTTATAATTCTTGGTTCATGTCAATATTGCATATCTATATATCTGTATATATCTATATCTGTCAATATATACGTATACACACATACATATTTAAAATACACATACATCTCAGTTAAAATGTATATGTGGAAATTAATTAATAATAATATCTGTATTGTTTATTGTTTGTTCATGTCAATATTGCATTAACTAATGTTAGTGAATACAACCTTATTATAAAGTGTAAAAAATATATTTTGCGTCAAGAAAATTGAGAATTTTGAAGCATTTATTTTTAGTTGAGACAGATTTTTTTATTACAGTTAAGCATATTCCCCCATTTTCATTTTTTGTAATATGAATAATTGTAATTATTTTAATTACTGTAAGATTTTTATATATGTTAATGCAGTGAGATTTGGTGGGAAATTGTGCAGATTTTTAAGTGGTCTTAATGGGCCAAAAAACCTGTCTCCATTGTCTTTATGTATTTTTTTCATATACAAATAGAACATTTCTTTTATGAGATTCACCCAAAAATTATAATACACCTAGTTTGACAGGCGAATAGAAAAGGCAAAAGTACAGTAAGGAAGAGAGGATAAAAGACAGTAAACGTTTAGCCACTCAGAAAGAGGAGTGGAAGACAGACAGACAGACAGACGGACAGAAGGCACAGCTTTTAAAAGCATAATTCAGTTACTGCTAATGTCCCAAACACAACATGTAGTGCCAGACACAGAAGCATCCAGACGTTACAGTATCAAAAACCTGTTCAATCAGGAAGACCGCCGAGAACTGAAGTCACGTGACCACCTCACTAAAGATGAGGTCAAAGGTGACAATAAGAGGACCGAGTTAATGGGAAACAGAGGAGTGGTTTATCGTATTAGTGTGTGCACACACACCAAGAAAAAGACAGGACTATGAAGTTCAAATCAAATATTACTAGATGATGATAGAAAATGCGCGGATACAGAATGTTAGTGAATCACAACAGGTTTCTGTTGCCAAAAACGTTCTGGGGGTCCACATACTCCTTCACCGACTTGAGCATGCCGAGCCCCACGCCGGACACGCTCTCTTTCATCCATTCCTTCCGGAGTTTTCCCACTGCGAGAGAGAGAGAGAGAGAGAGAGGGATTGAGCAGACGTGTGTGGCAGACAGCAGGACGTGAATGGCTCTCGTGTGCGAGCGGCTGTAAGCAGTGGATGATGGATGTTGTGGGGTGGGCGGCACTGCTGAAACGCTGAGATGTTTTGCATGATGTGATTTATGGAGAGCAGCAGACTATCAAACTCATTAAGCTGCCTGCGCTCCCAGCGGAGAAAGAGAAACTCTTCCTCTGTCTGTCTGTTTGTCTGCTTCTCTCGTCTTCAGACTAAATACCACAAGCTTCCACCCAACATACATCAACGTCAACTAAATGATCACACAACTTTACCAAAAAAAGAATCATTAAAAAATAAAGCAATACCAAACAACATATCAAAACTACTTGTAACCACAATTCAAAAAAATGTTATGACACTCAATCATAAAATAAATGAATAAAATGAATTGTGGGTAGCTGCCAGGGTGCTGTTCTGAGCATAACTCTATTAATCACGATATTAAAACCTATAAGCTGATAATTAATTTCAAGTTGTGACCAATAAATGGCTGATATTCAAATTCTACACAAATTTGTTACAAATAAATTAATTAATAAATAAAACACTCGATTTAAACGCTTCAAGAGAATTTAGGCATCACAATATTATATTTTAGTTTGAAAATGGATATTAATTTCAAGATTTGTTAAAGATTACATTAAACAGTGTTATTAAAGACTATTAAATCATTATTATTAAATCGTCATTAAATTATCAAGTCATTATTACTATTGTTGTTGTTATTATTACTACATCATTATTATATAATTATTGTGAACTTTAAGTGTTAGATGAAGGAAAAAGTAATTTAAATACAAAAATAGGGGAAATGAGCATAAACAATAATCCAGTATCATCCAATGCAGATACATTTACATAAAAAAAAAAAAATCAAATTAATAATAATCGGTTTTATCAGCAAAAGTCACACTTGAAATTCTCTTAACGGATAATAAAAACTAAAACCAATTTCCAACAAGAATATAATATAATATAATATAACATAATATAATTAATATAATATAATATAATATAATATAATATAATATAATAATGATTTCTTTCCCACATCATTAAAACTATGATATGTCCTTTATGAGTGTACATATTGTTTGTGAGAGCAGCAGTTTAGGGAACCTTGATGTGCCCGTCTCCTCTCTCTTTCTGTCTCACACGTTTAATATGATTGATAAGCGAGCAGACGGCATTTCGTCATAATACGTTACTGTTTGAGAAGGAGGCGGGGTTTGGGGCAAGGGCAGCTCGCTATTAGCAACACCCCAATCTGGGACTCTCTCATACATATGCAAATAGGTCTTGCGGCAACAGAGCCAGTCATCTTGGATGAAAGAACAGACGGCCGGCCCACCGAACACACAGCAAGCCAATCAGGAGGGGAGCACATTGGCCCTTCCTCAAACCCCCAGTGGTGTATTCGTGTCTCTGCTGGGCGGCAGACAGAAACAGAAGGAGGCATGACTGCATCATTGCCTCCATCACGGAGATAATTTACACATCTATCATCTCGCCATCAGCCCATATTCCCGCGCTCTCTTTCCATCACTATCCTGTCACTATTCATCTCTCATAACCACTTTCACACAGCTGAGACATGCAAAAAAATCAAGCCAGAGACAAAAGCATAGATGTGTGTGTCCAATAATGGCTGAATAAAGCGGAAGTGGTCTGAGTGTGTTTAGGGCTGATGCACTCATTTCCCCTATAACCCCTGGTCTTCACCTGCACAAACATGCACATGCTGTTCGTACTCCTACACTATCCTCAGGCGTGCGTTTACACATGCTGTGCTCTGGGATCAGCTCAGAAGAAATCTTTAAGCATATCTGCCTGGTGCCAAACAAACAAACCCAAAAAACAAAACTCCTGCAGCGAAGTCCAACAAGAATTCTTAGAATCCGGGTCACGGCACCAAAAAAATAAAATGTTGTACTTCGTAGTGGTCACATTAGTCTAAAACATATCACTACTACTAGAGATGATGGGCAGCAGAGATGATAGATGTTCTGGTGAGCGCTGGAATTTTTTATTCACTTTAGTGAATCGGTTCGTTTAGACAGTTCATTTCACAACTCACAAATGATTCATGAATCATTACTTTCAAAATGTTCTCGGAAGCCCTTCTTTTTTGTAGTTAAATTTGTATTAGTTCTGTTTGCTAGGTTTGCTTGGTTGTTTAATTTCAATGAACACAAAGTAAACAAACAAACAAATGATTCACTGAATTATTTGAGTCATTACTTCCAAAATATTTTACGAAGCCATTTTTTTGTAGTGAAATAAATGTTTAGTTAGTTCTGTTTGATAAGGTTGCTAGGTTCATTTGGACAGTTCATTTCAATGAACGGCTGAAATACACAAATGATTCACTGATTCACTTGAGTCATTACTTCCAAAATATTTTACGAAGCCATTTTTTTGTAGTGAAATAAATGTTTAGTTAGTTCTGTTTGATAAGGTTGCTAGGTTCATTTGGACAGTTCACTTCAATGAACAGCTGAAATACACAAATGATTCATTGATTAATTTGAGTAATTACTTTTAAAAAGTCCTCAGAAGCCCTTAATTTTTGTAGTGACAAATGTTCAGTTACTTCTGTTGGTAGGGTTGCTAGTTTAGTTTGAACCGTTCAATTCAATTAACTGCTTACAAATGATTCACTGATTAATTTGAGCAATTTTAAACGTTTTGTAGTTTGTAATAAATGTTTAGTTAGTTCTGTTTGCTAGGGTTACTTGTTTTAACAAATCCATAGTGTTAAGTATTAAACATTAACTAGTTTACATCGATTACGTCCAGTGTTGTTTTGTCAATATTTTCAATATGACAGCCACTTCCTACCAAAGTTATACAGTCAGATAACAAATGCGTTGCAAATTGGTTTGACCAAATCATTGAAAAGGAGTCCGTTAAAAAATGACTCATTAATGAATCAGAAATCGTTACTTCTTTCCATTCTCCATCTTGCTCTCCCTAAAGGCTGTGTGTGCGGTCTCTTTTTAACTCTATCTCTAACAGAGCAGCAAATCTATTTTAACCGTTTATCTGTTTAACAACGTCCTTTTAAAGTGCAAAGGGCATCTTTTTATTGGTTTAGTTTGCTTAGATATGTGTACACACGGCCAACGTGTAACAAAGAAACGGTGTGCACTTGTGTTTAAAGCGAGTGGAGGTCTGGCAAATGTGCTTGGATGCATTCACAGCTCTGACCTGCAGTAAACACAGGTTAGTAAACTGTGCCTTTCTCTCCTGCGCCCTCCTACCTCGCAAGCCCAGGCTACATCTGTTTTTCCAGATACACACGCACACACTTCATTTGTCATGCTGTGATTGTGTGTAGACAAAAGGGCCTGTCGGCAGGCAGATAGTACCGCAGTACAGCTATTAATCACAATTACAGAGAACTCCCCCAGCACACACACACACACACACACACACACACAACATGGCTTTCTTTCATTTAGATCGCAGTCAGGAAACTTTATAAATATCAGCTCACCATTTCCTCTCTCATTTTAAAGGTATAGTTCATCCAAAACTTAAAAATCACCTGCACGTCATTTAAAAATAATTTTTCTCTCTTCTTTGCATTATAAAAGTGTGTGTGTGTGTGTGTGTGGCTGTGATTAATGAGTGTGGTGATGTTTAGCTAGCAGCAGGCGGATGGTAATGTAGATAAGGCATGTGTTTCAGATCCAATAAACCAGGACAAACCACTGCCCCAAACTCTGCAATTCTCTAAAAAGCTGAATTGCTGAGTCTAGAGGCCGAGTACTATATATGTTCTGTTCAGTAGAGATCAGAGTGAGTGAATATATTCATTTATTTCAGGTGATGTGTGATGAAATTCACCTCCATGGTGGTGAGACAGACTTCCTCCGTTGGCCAGAATCTCCTCCCGGGCTGCATGCTACATAACAAATGCGAAAAAAAAGAAACAAATTCTCAATATCCACTTATTTCAAGCCTAAAAATGGAACCAATTATTTGTTTTAAATTTAAGAGAAGTCCACGAAACCTACAGCTGAAACAGTATATTGTGATGGCTTTAAAACTGAGAAATATATTAACAGGTGAATATTGAGGAATACTCAATACTTTTCAATACTGTACTTACCTCCACTTGTTCGTAGACGTGAACTGGATCACTCAGACCCCGGTAATTAAAGGCAAAATAGAAATACACACAAGCACCTGCGTCATACGTCTGTGTAACTCTAGAAAGAGGGAAACAGATTTTTTTTTAAAAATCAAGTTACAATGATTTCAAGTTCTTCTGGGAAGTTCCTACTTAAAGATGCACTCAGCAACATTTTGTTATACTGCACTGGCCGATATGCCGTCATCTTATACTGACACCTAGTGGTGTGGATGTAGCATCATGCAACAGTGTTATTTTTTCAGTTACAGATGCAGAAATGTGCCATTAGCAGTCAGCCATGATTATTTTTTTTATATATATATATTTAATATTTTAAAATATCTGTTGTCTTAAAATTATTTTTAATTTACCTTTTAATTAAAAATACTGAGCGCACTTTATATAATTATGAACATTTATATAATCGTGTACAATGATTACATAATTATGTACATTACACAAAATCTATGCACTGATTTCAAGTTGTTGGGTTTCCTAGAAACGAAGAAGCTGGACAAAATGTAGCTAGTTATTATACATCAGTTAGTTGTTAATTTCTGGCAAGATTTATAGCCATTCTCCATCAATGGTACACAAAAAGCATGCAAAATAAATTGTACAGTTCATTTTCACAATCATGATACAAATATATTACAAAATATAGATTTTATTTGACTAAGGAAGACAAAAAGGTTCAACTAAAAATCAAAATTAAACTATAAATCAATTTTTGCTCAATTTCATTTAGTTTTCTATTTATCTGTTGGTATACACACCTCTAATCACTGATTTCCAAGAGGATCAGTAGAGTTTGATGTTTCTATAATCAGTTATCTTAACGGTCTTCCTGCTAAATCAGATTTACGGCTTCTGCGGGATCTTTCATGCCCACAGAAAGACACAAAAAGAAAGAGAGGGACATTGACATGCTTTCTATCTCGGGCCTGCCTTTGTGACCCTTGACTTTGAGACAGTGAAAGTTTAAGGGCTGTGAGTTTGTGCTATCTGATCTTGCAGAGGTTAAATGGCCCCATCAATCATGTCACACGCAGCTGGATAGCCAAAGACAGGAAATTAATGACTGAGAAATGCACTTCAGTCCAAATCTCCCTCTTTTTCTGTGTGTGAGACGGTAAAGGTGAGATCAGAATGAACAGAGTTCACTATTCAATATATCAAATTGCGTCAAACTAGATTTTTACAATTAACTGAAGTTGCCACCAACATTGCTATGGCCTTGTGGGTAATTTATTAAACATAACACTATATGTTAATATTCCAGATGATTGCTAGGTGCTTATTTATGGACAGCATGTCAAAGGTCAGAAAGATAGATGTGTGTGTGTGTGTGTACCTGCATGTGGAGAGCGGAGGGAACTGTACTCCTCTCTCCTTACACTCTCTTACAATCCTCTCCTTCACATTTCTGCACAAGTCCAAAACCCTGAAAGAGAGACAAAAAAAAGACAAATACTGAATACAGAAGTGGCCAAAAATTAACCCACCTATTCACTCTTTACTATTACTAACATTCAAAATAGTGAAATTATTAAAGTTAAGACTATTAAATAACTAAATAAATAAATAGCACAAAAAAAAAAACAGTACAATAGCACAACACACAAAAGAAAACAAATATGTAAAACACGCTTACATTTGAGCTTTTTGTCTTTTCTTCTCACTCTAAACATTCACTCAACCAACTTCATGAGATGAGTCTTGGGATGTTTTTAAATTGTATTGGGTTCACATGTATGTTGCACACTTGACTGCTTTTAGTTTATAATCTGTGTTAATACTAAGAGCCAGAATTTCAGGTTCACATGAAGTCTGAAAGTTTCTGTGTCTCTGTGGGAGTTCAAGTTTTTTCTTTGGCTTTGTGTCCTTGAAACCTTCCCACCTCCACCAAACCATTCAGACAGAGACAACAGAAGTGTCTAAGAGTGTGGGCAGCAGTGGGCGACAAACAGAAAGTGCACAGGGCAAAGCATCGCATCACACATTTACCTGTCCCACGGCACAGACGTCTCAAACGACTCTCCGATCACATAGTAGTCCATTCCCAAATCCTGCACACATACACACAGATGTTTTTTGTAATGTATTCTATTGTTGACCAAAGATGCATTTATTTGTTACATTTTATTTTATTTGTTACAATTTAAAATAATAATAATACATTTATAATAAATAAATAATAAATATTTTTTAATCTTAATATATTGTAAAATATAATTTATTCCTTTGATGCAAAGCTGAATTTTTAGCATCATTACTCCAGTCTTTAGTGTCACATGATCTTAAGAAATCATTCTAATATGTTGATTTGCTGCTCAAGAAACATTTCTGATTATTATCAATGTTACCAATTCTTAATATTTTTTTTCAGGATTTTTTAATGAATAGAAAGTTCAATAGAACTGCATTTATTTTAAATATAAACTTTTGCAACATTATGAATGTCATTGCTGTCACTTTTGATCAATTTAATGTGTCCTTGCTGAATAAAGAATTGATTTATTTCCTTAAAAAAATCTTACTGAACCCAAACTGAACCAATGCCATTAAAACACACATTTAGGGTTAGACATAAAAAATAAGTTTTATGAAGGTGCATTTTTGGGTCCTTTGAAGTCTGTTGTAATTAAGGAGAGTAAATCAGTGTGAGGAGTTTCATAACACACCCGCAGATACGCGATGACAAATGACAAAC